CTTCATCTTACTTTGCAATAATTTGTCTAGATAAGAGTTCATGCTCTCACAACGTTGTGACGTAGTCATCCCAGAAAAGAAAGTACCTTTCAAGTAAGTTGTGGCCCATAGAGCTTGTCGCCTATACATCTTCTTCATCCACGCATCTTGCTCCAGGTCATACTTGGACAAAATTTCCTTCCACGTAGCTTCAAATTGTGGAATAGAACTGCAGTTTAGCATGCATTGTTTGAAATCCTCCCGGAAGCCTTCCGCATGGCCACGCGCTTCTGCGTTATTGCCCAAGTGCCAAGAACATAACCGATGTCCGGATCCAGGGAGAACCGACTTGATAGCTTTCCTCATTGAAGAACAACCATCTGTTATAACTGCGGTTGGCTTCTTACCACCCATGCCATGTAAAAAAGCATTTAGAATCCATACGTAGTTCTCCGTCGTTTCATCCGCAAGTAAAGCACATGCAAAAACAGTGCTTGCATTGTGATTATTCACACCAATGAATAGAAGAAATGGAAGATTATATGCATTAGTCTTGTATGTCAAGTAAAAAACAAGAACATCTCCAAAGAGACTATAATCCAATTGTGAAGTAGAGTCAGCCCATAACATATTGCCTAGTTCACCACCATCACTTACTGTATATCTATAATAAAAACGAGGATCGGTAGTTGCCTGTGCTTGTAAGTAGGCAAGTGCAGCTTCACTATCACTATCCAAGATCTCCGACCTCTGATCCGCACTAACAAAATTGTAGACGTCGGTCTTAGTGAAACCCAAGTTCTGAAAGCTTCCTGCACAATTCACTAGATAATCCATGATTTGATTGGTGCGAACACCAACAGCCTAAGTGATCGAATCTTAGCCTTTCTTGCGTCATCTACCTTGCTTCTTTGGCTTAGAAAATTTCTTCAAAATTTTAATAAAAACTTCTAAAAAAGAAAAAATGGAATAAAAAAACGGACTTTTTGATTTTGTTCGAGATGAGAACTCAAAAACTGCACTTCATGTGCTCCAGCTAAGTGATGAAAATGTGTTGGTACAAACTGCTTCACCTTGAATCGGTTAGTTGCCTCAACAAAACTGGCTTTGAAAGCAGCCGGACAATGGAGCCTTGTTACAGGCCTAGGTTCACGCTTTCTGTTCTCCTTGTCATTGTGCACTGGCTGACGCTCCCCCTCGCGTGAGCAAACCCATCGCTGCATATTTCTAACTCCATATTTTGAATATGTGAGAGTGTTCTTTCGTACGCTGAATCCCATGGCACAACCATAAGTTGAATAGAACTTGTCAGACTCCACAAGGGTTTCAAACTCAAAACCCACAACATCATCCGACTCCCATTTAGAATATGGCTTCCCATTCCCGACTTTATCAAGCAGGGTCAAGTCATACATACTCGAGTACGGTGGAGCATGGCTGGATTTGCAGCATCTTTGTGTAGAGGTGCATCTGAGCTGTGTGGCTGTGTTTTGAAGCTGTGCAAATGCTCATCGGAGATGTTCTCCTTATAATCATCACCAATGTTAGTGTTATTATCATCCTCAGAATCACTATCGCTGGTGTCGACATTGTCGTCCATATCGTCGCTATCTCTAACACCACCGGTATTATCTCCATAATCCATTCCCCAATCTAAACCACATTCAAGTCAATTCCCGTGTCCTTGCCTGTGCTCATATCATCCATCAACCCTTCCATAGTTGATCAACTGAAAACAACCAACAAAATGTAGTTTAGAGACAATTGAAATCCACATATTCACCACCCATAACCGACCGAATCAAACACTTCACTAATCAATTAACAAGCAACGAAAAAAAATTAGAGGCATATGCATATAAGGCACATGGTTTTTGTGCATCTTTAAGAATCCTCCAAGCCCCATGTTAACCTCAAAAGGCAGCCCTTTCACCCCCTCATTACTTATTATTCTGCAGATCCTCAAATCACACATCAAAATGGTTCAAATAAAATGATTGATAAAGAATGTGAACCAAAATCCAGGACATGAAGTCAAAGTTGCTTTTTCTGCCTCCCTGGCTATATGCAAAAGCAAGAATACTAACTAGTAAACACATGCTTCAAAATTCGAATGACAGTGATTCACGTTCTTCCACAATGTGAAAGCTAAGACACTTCATATCTCCAGAAAAATTCGGCCAGGGTGCTCAATACCCAGTTCAGAACGCAGAACAGGCACACTCAATCGCCATGAAACGAAACAAACATGAGCCAAGTCTGAGTTAAGCAAACTCAGCTTGATAGTTTCCCCTTCACTTCTGCGACAAACCAACCAATCACAAATGAAATGAAGCCAAGCAAGATCACAATTCACAACACCCACCAAACTGAACAAAGAAGACAACCAGAACCGATCCTCTTTTCAATCAACATGAAAACCATACATGAACACCAATACTGCCAACAATTTACAGTTTTGAAGCCACCACAATCCCCAATCTTCAAACCCACCATAACATACCACAAGCTTCCACATACCAAACTATGCACAATAACCACAGCTAAACTGAAACACAATTTCCAGCCCCAAAACCATCATAATTTCAGTCTCAAAACCCAACTATACATACACGATTTCTCAAAATTCGCAAACACAATAGGCATAATCTCAACACACAACTAGTACTAAACTTCAAATTCCGAAAACCCACAAGGAAAGTTCCCCTTGGTCATTGGCGTTGCCGCCGACGAAGCTCAGAGCTGCCGGCGGTAGCCTTTCCTTACCCTACTATTGACACTAATTCCGTCTCTTCCCCTCAAGCGAACCATTAAACCCAGATATTAAAACAGAAAACCCAAATCAGAACCCGTAACAACTCAAACCCCCCAGGAAAAATCACGCATGCCCTTACCTATTAAAACCCACTTGCTCTCTCTGCCTCGTCGCCGTCTCGGCTAGAAACGATCTGTCTCCGTCGCGAAGGATGGGTGGCGAAGGATGGGCGAATAAGGGAGAATGGAAAATCGATGGTTGCGTAGAGAAGGGAAGACGAAGGAAGGGAGATAGGAAGAATCTGGTTTTGTAATATTGGTGGAGAAGGAGCCGACGAAGGACGACAATTAAAAACTGAGGATGGGATAGAGGGAGGGAAGCAGGAAGGAAGAAGCCGACAGGGAGGAACCGAGGATCAGTCCTCTGGCGCCGACGAAGGACGAGAAGGAAGAAACGGCATCACTTTTACGACTTACGACGGTGAGGGTTTAGGATCTAGGATTTCTTTATTATGACCGACCCAAAAAATCATCGGTTTATAATTAGATGGGTTAAACCAAAAACCATATTCAAACGAAAATCAACCATATACCGTAAACCCAATCTCAAGTCGGTTCACAAGTACATGGCTTCAAACCAAAACCATAATCAAACACTCATTAAACCATATACTTTCCACCAAACTCACGTCGGTTCACAAGTACATGGGTTCAACCCAAAACCATAATCAAACACTCACTAAACCATATATCGTAAATCAATCTCACATTGGTTTATAATTAGATGGGTTAAACCAAAAACCATAGTCAAACGCTCAGTCAACCATATAAAGTACATGGGTTCAACCCAAAACCATAATCAAACGTCAATCAACCATATACCGTAAATCCAATCCCACGTCGGTTCACAAGTACATGTGTTCAACCCAAAACCATAATCAATCAATCACTAAACCATATACTCTCAACCAATCTCACATCGGTTAACAAGTAGATGGGTTAAACCCAAAACCATAATCAAACACTAACTAAACCATATATCGTAAATCAATCTCACATCGGTTTATAATTAGATGGGTTAAAAACAAAACCATAGTCAAACGCTCAGTCAACCATATAAAGTACATGGGTTCAACCCAAAACCATAATCAAATGTCAATTAACCATACATCGTAAACCCAATCCACGTCGGTTCACAAGTACATGGGTTCAACCCAAAACCATAATCAAACATCAATCAACCATATACCGTAAACCCAATCCCACGTTGGTTCACAATTACATGGGTTCAATCCAAAAACCGTAATCAAACACTCACTAAACCATATATCATCAACCAATCTCACGGGCGTGAAATTCCATCATTAAGGCGTTAGGAAAAACCCATCTCACGACCCAGTCTCACGGGCGTGAAAGGTCCATCCGTGAAACAGCCTGCTGGCAGGGTGGATAAGGTCCATTTTCAACCATTTTCGGTATATGATCATTCATAACTTCTTCCTTGTCGACACATTAAACATAATATAGAGAAAAGAGAACATCACTGAATAATGCTTCATTCATAACTTCATTGTAATTTCAACAGTTTCCTAAACTTCATTCAGCATCTACATTCACTAAAATTCATTCAACATCTACATTTTCCTAAACTTCATTCAACATCCACATTAACTAAACTCTACATTAACAACACAACTCTCAATGCTTCTTAGACTTTCTACCCTTTTTCTCCCCATGCGGGTGCAACGGCTTTCTTCCTCGATTGAGTAAGTTCGTCTTGAAATTCACCTTCTCAGTCTCAATCAGGTCTCGCATGACTCTCAAAATATTCATCTGATTGTGCCTTAACTGTAGCTTGCACCTCATTCAAACGCGTAGTGAGCAAGTACATTGTAAGTTGTGCCCGTTCATAGTCACTGTCGAACTGGTCAAGATTCTTGGAATATCGATCTGGATCCAGCAAGTAATTGGTGACAAATAGTGCACAATCAAATCTGTAATATAACAAATAATTACCATGGTCATGATGCGAACAAATAATTACCGAACTTAATTAGAACAGTGCACAATTGAACAACAACAAAGGGTACCCATTTGGTTGGCAAGCAACATCTTGGCAATATCTAACCACAAAGTCCACAAATGAAAACGCCCCGCAGATATCATCCTTTACCAACCAGTCTAGACCCAATTTCTGCAAATGAAAACATCCCCCTCATCGATATTTAACGACAAAGTCCGCAAATGAAAAACAACTAACAACTAAGCAATAAGTCAAGTTTGAAAACTTGAAGAACAAGACAAGCAGCAAACCAGTTTCTGTATCCTTGCATCATATTCTTGGTTATGAGTTCCTGGTAATGAGTCACAGATTTCAATTTCTTTGGTATCCAAGTTAAAGACTGTCAGATAGGAGTGGCTCACCGTGAGGTTGAAAATTGGGACATGAATCTGAAATAATGCACAAACAAACAATAATTAACAATTTAACATAGGAGGGTTAAGCCATTTCCCTTTAGAAAACAACATTACAACATACATTACTGCAGTAAAGTAGCTCATTTATACGGTATCGCTCAAGTATCTTATATGAACCCATGGTAGCCATAAATTGCTCCTCGTTGCAATGATACGCACGATCCTAGAAAAATAAAAAGCAGTTACCCACACAAGCTACATGTAACAAAAAAATAGATTAATTTCATGACAAGAATAGACAAAGCAGACAACTGTACCAAAACTGAAGGTGGAAAGAACCAACACAAGCCACCACTGTGACCACAACTTCGTTCTTCTAGTGTCTTGCACAAACACACCATTTCTATAATCTAATGCATCATCATCACATATACCAAAGTCAGCAATACAAGTTCAATCTACTAAATTACACACATAAAGGAACTCACCCTTGTTGAAAGTTTGGTCTTGGGCAAAAGCTGGACCAAATCTTCACGGAGCAAGGGAAGAACCCCGCCATCAAGACTAACCAATATGTCACTGTTATACAAGACCAAGTTCAAACACCACAACATTAGAATAAGGCAAATACCAAAAACATCCTACAAATATGATCCAATCTTACTTGTAATGATTTCGGGAGGTACCTTCCGGTAAGCTTACTACTAAAAGCAAATTGAATCATCTCTACTGCCTCCAGAGTCAATGGTGTCTTAACAACAAAGGGAGGAGCAAGGTACAAAGGTTGTTCTTTCTTAGCTTTGGGATTTGCCCGTTCGAATGGAGAGACCACATACAAACTAGGCTTCAATTTAGATACACTACGTAGTCCACCTCCCTTTTGCCCATTTATTGTTCAAAAACATAAAAACAAAACCAGTTCATTAGTAACCACACCATAAGAACAAATAATTAGAAAACTTAATCAATTGTAATACCTTCACAGTCTTGGCACAACCATCATTAGCAGCAACACTTTCATCACTCAAAAGTATGAATTTCTCAACTTTAGACGCTTTCGCCTGCTCGCAAGGAGACTTTTTCACAACTTTGACAGAAGGTGATTAAGAACAGTTGTCATCTCCAATTTTGCCCTTAGCCTCTCCCCAATTCTTAACACCTAACCCTTGAGTCTTGACACATTCGGAGGTAGGAGAAATGGGTTCACTTGGTTTTTCAACCTCACCCTTCTAATTGCCCTTTTCCCCTCTGATAAGCTACTCCGTTGGCAACAAAACAGCTGCAGAAGCTTTCACATTATCAGCCGCATCCTTCTGATCATTCTTTTTCAATTCAGTAGGCTGCTCCCTTGACAACGGGTCACCTATAGTTGGTTTCACTGCCTCTATAATTGACTTCACTGCAGTACCAATTTTGTCTTTAAATGCCCGAAATTCATTCTCCATTTTCATAACCCGACCCATTAGCTCCTCACCTCTAGAAGCAGCATCACCCATTGCGACTTTAAATTCTTGACTGAAGTTGTCAATCTAGCCTCCATGGTACTAAACCGAGCATCAATACGCTCACAGAGAAGCATCTCATCCCCGTCGGTTTTGTGCCGTTTCCCGTCTTCTTTTCCCCGTTTCCTTGGAGGTGATTTCAAACCTGCATCCTCAGATGATCTTTTCCCCGAACTGCCGGAAATCTATAAATTAATTAAAAAGGGAACCAAATGTACCATTAGCATGCTCCAACTCGTCAAAAGAAACAAAGGGTAATTGACATAAATGGTCATAAACCTTTACACTTTGTACAAAACAGTCACAAACCTTTATTTTTGCACGATTCAATAATAAACATTTGAGGGTATAACAAAACTGTCATTCCGTCCTTCTCCATCCAAATTTCTGTTAGTTTTGTCCAGTCAGCATTCCACGTCACCAATAATAATAATAAAAAAATTCACCAAACCACTCAATTTAACCAAACGATCCAACCCTTTGGAGACGATTCAACCCACCCGAACTCTGTTACCCTCCCCGACCGTAGATTCCCATCTCCATCACTCCTCAACAAGTTCCACTTCCTGTTAAAATCAACAAAACTAATTTGTTGTTCAATATGTGATTATTATAGAGAAGCTGAGATGGATCAAAACATTTTGATTACTTCAAAATTAAAATCCAATCTCGCCATGGTGAAGAGCAGAATTCTATCTGAGAAAATTACCTCGACAGCGAGATACTCGAGAACAACAGCAAGGTGGATCAGAGATCCGTATGCAACCTTTCTTCAATAACCAGACAATACGGCTGGCAAGGAACTACAGCCCGGACCTGGCGAGATTGGAAACGACCTTCCGATCGCCTCCACTTCTCCCGCCGGAGTTTCCGACGAACAGTGAGAAGAATCAAGCCCCGGAACTTGAAAAAGGTGAGAAGTTTTCGACAACAAAGATCTCTGAAAAAATAGTTAGTAAATTGGTTTTGGGAATTTTGGGGAATCTTTATGTTTTGGGGTCAAGAAGGAGAATGATTGGGCGATGATGTAGAGGAAGGTTTCAAAGGTTGGTATCATTGGTTGGTTGGTCTCCCTTTTAGCCTTTCTTCTCCGAAGTACAAACAGACCGCCTCGTCGAAGATTCCAAGCTGAGTGTTCAATTCATGGAGCTCGTGGTCGACGGCGAGTCGGCGACGAGTGACTTTAAGGGAGGTGGAGGGTTTTATTTTCTGAAATTGGGGCACGCTCTATAGAGTCGGGTGGGTTGGGCCGTTGGGTTGGGTGGTTTGATTTAAGTTCAATTTTTTATTAATATTTTTGATGACGTGGAGTGCTGACTGGACAAAACTAACAGAACTTTGGATGGAGAAGGAAGGAATGATTGTTTTGTTATACGGTCAAACGTTTATTATCGAATCGTGCAAAAATAAAGGTTTGTGACCGTTTTGTACAAAGTGTAAAGATTTGTGACCGTTTATGTTAATTACCCAAGAAACAAATATACCATTTTGCACTATCAGTCTTACCACTCTCGTTAACAATAACTCTACGTCTCCGCTCCCCCTACTCATCAAATCCAAACTTCCATCAATGGTGTGGAAAATACCATTTGCATGCTCCAAGAATATTAACTACAAAAAAAGCTATAATCAACATGATGATTAATCATTACGAATATGTAGAAAGTAGGGATTATCAATTATTTGCCTCCAAAAACAGCAAGCAACCAGGTATATACTTTTTCCCATCAGCATTATGGTTGCACATGCATTTCACCAATTCATTGAAGCAATAGGATGCCCAATTCTTCTTCGGAATGTCCGCAACATCGGTGACAGCGTATACCAAAGATAACGAAATGCCATCTCTTCTTGTAGGTACTAATAGCACCCCATTACATACAATATAAAAGTTTTAACAAATAGGTCGCTGCTCTCTTTTATCTTCAACAATGTCTTTCGCATTAAGCTTGTGGAAATCGCCTGTCGATCACAGTCACGAGTCGAATACACTCTAAATTCTTTCAGTTCCTCGGATCTTCCAACCACTTCTTCACCATCCAAGACGATATCCGTCCCTCCCTAGGGGACACCCATAATTCGCTGGAAATCTTTGGCCGAAATATGCACTTTCACCCCATACGCCTTAATTGTGCTTTCTTCCAGATTAAAGCTCTTTAAAAGTTTCTCCAACAACTCACGTTGTAACATTCTTCCTTTGATTTCAAGAATCCGACCAAAGCCACATCTCTTAATGGCCTCTTATTGACAAGCCTCTAAATTTGAGACTAGGGAGAATACTTTCCTCAGAGAACATCGCGTGCTAAAAAGGTCATGCCTCTTCGTCTTCATTATAGAACAATTTTAACAAACTGCAAAATTAAAACATCAACAAAATTATAAGCATGCCTTGAAACACGAATTATAAGCATGCCGAAGACTACAAACAAAATACACAAAGCCATAGTCGTCCTCTAGTGATCTAAAGAAGCAACTTTCACAGTTAAACACATTCTAGAAAACGTGGTTATGACAAAGTTTCATTCTAGAAAAGGATCATTTAATTATTTGGTAAACACATTCTCCAGGTAATGAGTTCAATCTTGGTTTTCAATATATGGCTTTTATCAATATTGAAAAAATGCAAGACTATACCAGAGCTCACAAGCACACTTGCCTCGGTATCAAGTTCCAACTACCAGAAGAACTGAAAACCCCTACCTCAATACCTGAGTACACTAATTAACCATGAAATCCGCCATTGGCATATATAAATTTCACCCAAAAATCCCAGCTTTCATTAAACAGTTCACACAGTTCATTCTCAATTCTCACGGCCGTGACATGCCACGTGAGAAGTAAAGAGCAGTTTTCATATCCCCAGGCAATCTCACAGCTTTGGCTTCATAAATTATGGTCGTTAAACTAAGTCGTGAAACTAAAAACACCCAGATTCCACTAAACATTCTCACGGCTAATTCTGGAAATTTCACAGCCGTGACATCTTTTCATGGAAGCACCCCCTTGGTCAATTGTCTGGCTCCGCCACTGGTTAAGATAGTGACGGGAAAATTGATATCTAGTAAAGTTTTGAAAAATAATTATTGTTTCCTAGAATCTATTCTTAGCTTCGGCTTGCAACTCATCATAGTAGAGCAAAATCCAGATAAGGGGGAATGCTGAGATTGGTTTCTGTGTTGTTCTTTCACCAGAAGGTTCTATACATAGTTAGTTAAGATAAACAGTATTGAGATTGGTAGTAAACTAATGATAAGAAATGATGAAAGGAAAGGATTATTGAGTGCTACTCTATACATTGCTTCAGCCTGCACATCACAACATATAATTCATAATGAAAGGATGAACATAAGTCTTGATTACAAATTTGTGCAAACAAAACCTCTAATTCAACAGGCTAGGAAGCACAAATCCATTCCAAATGGTTGTAGGCTAGGTTAATAGTTCTAATCATAATATATGCGATTGAGGTTTTGATGTAGCAGGTTGATAGGCATAGACTTGTTTAACCACACCAATAATGCACTATACTGACATTGCCATCACTATAGATAGAAGAGAGCATAAGCCGGGCTCTAACCATGCACGCATTCAATCAAAAAGCACAAGCATATCCATTGCGTAAAAGTACCAAATAAATTCACACCATCAATCACACAGTAGCTATTCCATACAGCAAAGTACAACTACTTTCAAATATGCAGGTCATAATTGTGATGACCGAAAGCACAATCAACATCAGGGTAAGTGTCATGAGTAGAAATCAAAGAGGCACAAACAAACGATCTTGAATAACAATTCACGGCTGAAGTTAAAAGGGCGAGATTTCAGTAACTTGCCTGGAATGGAAGACTGAGATTGCAGCTCTATCACAAGAGAAATTGAATTCTAAATCCAACGTGTAGCAGCTGAAAGAGTTACCAGATCAAAGTCCCTACACATAATACAAAAAATAAAAGTAAACTCACGTAAACAACAAAATCATAGACAGGTTACGATTAAGGTGATGCTAATACTGCAAATCCTTGTGGCATTACAAAAGCGTCCTAGAATAAAGGATTCCTATTGTATTAACTATTACGTACTACGGATGGGGCATTAAGTAATTCAGGCTCGTTGTTTTCCTAGTTCAGTATTCCACACGGACATAACGTCAAACACATGGAAGCCATAAGCAAT